ACTGGGCGCACCCGCCAGTGTGCTATAAAGAGGTAAGTCAGTCTTGAGGGGGGTGGGGGATGTTACTGACTGTCTTTGTTCGCATGTTGGGGTTTAATAGAGCAACGCCACCAGATCAGTCCGATCGCGGTCCGATACCACCATGTACAGGCCGGTCGACGAGCTCGCACCATCGTGGCAGCGCTCCGCATACGCACTTCCAAAACGATCCCCGCATTCAGACAAAAACACCAACAACAGATTCTCGCCTGCAACACCAGCAACAAGAAACAAACAGACTCGTCTCCAACACGAACAGCGATAACGACACCGACTCGCGTCCAACACCAACAACAACAAGAGACAGACCCACCTCCCACACCAACAACAAGACAGACTCACCTCCAACACAGGCAACACGAACAACGGACTGCCTCCAACAACAACGACGATAAAGAAACAGACTCGTCTCCGACAACAACAACAAGAAAAAGAGACAAGACTCACCGCTTGGTCGCCGCCGCCCACCGACGATGGCGCGTACACCCTGGTCACCACGCTCGAAGCCTGCGACCCCGCCGGGGACAGCCCGCGGGACAGCTCACTGCGCACCGACGTCCCCTTCACGGGGACCCGTACCGCGAAGTCCCCGGCGTCAATGGTAAGCTTGGGCGGGACGGTATCACCGCCGCCGCCGCCGCCAGCGGCGGAAGAACTCTTCTCCGACGATGACCCCCTCGGTCTCTGCTGCGAGACCGTACGGAGCGAGCTCCTGTCGCCACCCCCTGCCTTGAAGCTCGAGTCCGCGGATGCGGCGGAACTAGTGCTGGTTCCCCCGGCGGTCCCGCCGCTCTTTTTGTCCTTTCGGCCGTGGACGGTGGTGATCACCACCGGCGAAGGCTTTGATCCCGTGCTGCCGCCGCTCTCCACGGAGCGGCTGCGCCTGTGCCCGCGGCCCTTGCGGCTACGGCTGGAGGACTTGGGCAGGATCTGCTGGTGGCCTCGCGAAGGCATCCAAGAGCTCGTCTTCTGCGCGTTTTTGTTTTTCGTGTCCCCAAGAGACAACAAAGTCGGACGTCGTGTAGACATCAAGGCCCCAGTCAAACCCCCAAAGGGGGGGGGTTAGGTGAGAAGGTAGAGAGGAAAGGGAGGGGACGGCAAGGGCGTCTCAGCGAATGAATAACTGACATTTTTGGAGCTTGCAGGTACTCATTCAAGGTCGAGCGAGTTGGAACAAGGTATGAAAAAGCACGCCAAGATTAGGTATCTGGCACTCCGAGAATTCCTCGACGTGCACAGCGTTCTTTCCGAGATATCGAAACCTTGTTGTGCTCGTAAGAGACCAGCGCAAGCAAGCGGGGCTGACTGTATCGCCTGCTCTTCAAGCTTGGTCAACCTCCACCCACGGCAGTCTCAAGCAATCAAACAATCGTGTGCTTAACCTTCCTGGTACATTCCGTCTACTAGGTTGCAGAAGATACCATACCCCTTATACCGATTATATTTTCAAAGTAAAAAAAAAAACAAAAAAAAAACTACTCCACGACCAAGAGAATGCCGCAATCAAATGATGACACGTTTTCGGAAAGCTCTCGATGAGAGATACGGTTCCAACGCCGCCATTTTCCGGCGCCGCAACTTCTTTTCCTGCCGAGTAATCGACCTTTGAACCATCGATCCGTGAGCACGGTACCTCACGCAACCTAAGGTACAAGTATCCGTGCTCTCCACACATGTGTGTTGTTGTAGCTCAGCCAAGCCTGTGATCACGAGGACACTCACACTTCCTAGCTTCCTAGGGAAGCAAACAATACATCCAAATGAAACCTTCAAGAAAAAACTTGCAGAAAAAAAATGGATGGGCACGTAGTTCGGTGATTTTTAGAAAGTAAACATAACCTCACAGAAAGACTACCCTTGAGTGATTTTGCAAGGACAGAAAATAACAAAATAACGGGTTCATTCATTCCATTTGACAATAGTCGAATGTATGCACCTGTATTAAGAAAAAAAACACGGGTTTTCCATCCCATGTTCTGCAACCCGACTACAGTTGAATGGATGCACTTTTATCAAGAAAAAAAAACGTGGGTGTTCCATCTCATCTACGGCAACCTGAACTACAGCAGTTGATTTATGGTATACATTTTCAAGAATAAAAAACACGGACGGTGTCCCATTCACCCTACCATCTACATACTGACTGCAACACCATTGGTATACCTTTTCCTCCACGGCAGGCTCCACTCGCTCCACCACCCCATGGTCGTCATGCCTGATCACCAACCCGCTGGGCTCCAGGTCGAGCTCAACCAGCGCTCTCCGAGCCTCAAGCTTCTCCACCAAGAACGCGTCCAGAGCTTCCGGCGTGAGCAGGTTGACCCACTCCAGGGAGCTGAGGGTCACGTGGATTGGTATGCGCGCGGGGGAGGGGGGGGGGCGTCAAAAACGTGGATGGAACAATTGGTGCTTTTGCTTGCGAGAGGCTCATTGGGTCAAGAGCTTCAGGCGTGTGACCCAGCGGGGGGGCGTGGATTGGGATGGGTTTGGAGGGGGGGGACTTGAGAATGGAGAATTGGTGCGATTAAAGGCGCAAGCTGAGAGGGGGGTTAAACACAATATTCACGACTGGGGGTGAGAGAACGGCATAGCTACAACATCTCAGGCGTGCGGACCCATCGTGGGGTGGGTGGCCACGATGGTGAAACCACCTAAAAAACTGTTAGCGCCCGCACATATTATAACAACTTTGACCGTCAAGAAATTGATAAAAGCCTAAATAACCTAAGGACTTCTACTTGTGAAACTCGTACACAAAAGCCTACCTCACCCCCGTT